AGATAAACTTGATTAATTTCTTCCTATTACATTTATCTAATTTTCTGGTTAAAAATACTAAATCCACCAGCACCAAGTCATCTAAAATTTTTTCCATCTAATCTCAAAAGTCTGTTTAATATTCTGAATTCCAACACGATTATTACATAAATTCAATCCAAATTATTGAATAAATTATTTTAACTTCAGTTTGTTAAAAATTAAACTGATAAACAGTGATGCAAGAAGAGGATCCAGCTCAAATGCACACAATCAGAGAGCTAGCGTCCTCTTTCTGGCACTACTGCTCGTAAGAGAAAAAAATATACTTTGGATTTAATGTTAATACTAGTTCTTTATATACATTTCATGGCAAATATTGAATACGAGTTAAGTTAACAAGCAAGCAAAGAAATTAATGTAACAGGAAATTTGATAGATTCAACCAGAAAATATTAACCAAATCCTTATAGTCTAAAATCTATTAAACATTCTTGTTATAAAAAAATCGAGTCTCATGATAACTAGAAATTCTTGTTTGATTTAACCAAAATCAATCATATACGTCTTGTTGATACAATCAAACGATTTTTCTCAGTGTGGCGAAGCGATTTTAATCCATTTTGCGATTTTCGCTCGCGAAACATGCGGAGGGAGAGAAATTCTTTGGTCTCGCGTTGTTCTTCTTTTCTTCGCGTTTCATCTTGGAAAAATAGGAAAGACGATTTTATTTCACCAGTTTCACTATTTCGCCCTCCTTTTGTCCATACCGTGAGCGTTCCGCGCTAAAGCGGAACGCCAAAATGAATGGTCGGAGAATTATTCACTTTGGGAATCTCAGTGAGTTGTGTCGGTGGGTGTGGGACCGAGATAAGATACGACTTCATTTCCGCCTCGCGACTGCGCTATCCTCCACGAGCGTCGTTCATTTCCTTCGTTCACGTCGAGGAATAACTGTACGAACTCAGCGCATCGAAGTTAATCTTTCAGCATCTTGAGAAAGACACGATCGCGAACCCGCAGAAAGCACCAAACGATTTCAAAGTAAATTATGAAAACACAAGTTATCTACATTATTCTTTCTTGACTTATTGTACTATTTGCGAAACTGCGTTAACGATTGAAAATGAATAAAAACTAGCGTTTTATTTGCACGCATAAAATTATGTGTTAGAATACAAAATTAATTTTTTTATCTACGATTGCTGGAAGGTTAATGACGGAAAATTTCAAAAGACGGAGTCTTACGAAAAATTAAAGACATATCGCGTTTTATGCGGAAATCTCTTTATTCCTCCGGTCTTACTTCACCGAGAGAAGAAGAAAAAGACGCGCATCGTTCGCTCGATACGTTGTACCGCATGCGGTACAGCCGCGCGGAAGTTTTGTAAATTGGTCGCTTTGCTAGAACAAGGAGAGTGTAGCGCGAGCGATGAATTTTAAGACAGGATACGTCGCACGTCCAGAGGCAAATCTAACCGAATTTATTCAAATCCCTATCGTTTTACCCTTCTCTAGCCGCAGGGCGGCTGCAATAAGTCACCGTCGTGGATCGTCTCTATGAATAATGCAACTTACGAGAAACTTTTTCCGCAGAACGTATAATATGGCACGATGCAGCGGATAAAAGTATAGATATATTTCTGCAACACCTTCAGAGGTCAAAATTGTAACCGGAAACAACGCTTTAAATGAACGATTTATATATTGGCTTTAAGGATGTTTTGTACCAATTTTCATAATATTGAGAATTTAATGAAAATTGTACAGAATGTCCTTACATATGTTTAGAATCTTCAGTACAATTTTTAAATCGATTCACTAAAGCGTTCACAAGTTATAAGGATTTTAATTTGCACCGAATTAACATGTGTTCTTATGGGAAACGTATAATCAAGTCGATTTAAATGACAAAAACACATGGAAATAATATTCAGAATTTGTTTAAAATTTGCAAAAGTTCAGATACATAGGAAATATTTGGTGAAATAATATTATACAAGTACTAACTGATTAAAAAGATATTAAATATAATTCAATAAAGTTAGCCATGTATCTGTCACAAGGCGAAATTCTCTGCCAAAAGTGAAGGATGTTTTGTACCTATTTTCAAAACATTGAGAATTTAATGAAAATTGTACAGAATGTCCTTACATATGTTTAGAATCTTCAGTACAATTTTTAAATCGATTTACTAAAGCGTTCACAAGTTATAAGGATTTTAATTTGCAACGAATTAACATGTGTTCTTATGGGAAACGTATAATTACGTCGATTCAAATGACAAAAACACATGGAAATAATATTCAGAATTTGTTTAAAATTTGCAAAAGTTTAGATACAGAGGAAATATTTGATCAAATAATATTATACAAGTACTAACTGATTAAAAAGATATTAAATATACTTCAATAAAGTTAGCCATGTGTCTGTCGCAAGTCGAAATTCTCTGCCAAAAGTTGAGGATGTTTTGTACCTATTTTCAAAACATTGAAAATTTAATGAAAATTGTACAGAATGTCCTTACATATGTTTAGAATATTCAGTACAATTTTTAAATCGATTCACTTAAAGCGTTCACAAGTTATAAGGATTTTAATTTGCACCGAATTAACATGTGTTCTTATGGGAAACGTATAACCACGTCGATTCAAATGACAAAAACACATGGAAATAATATTCAAAATTTGTTTAAAATTTGCAAAAGTTTAGATATAGAGGAAATATTTGGTGAAATAGTATTATACAAGTACTAACTGAATAAAAATATATTAAATATACTTCAATAAAGTTAGCCATGTATATGTCACAAGGCGAAATTCCCTGCCAAAAGTGAATCATTTCGATTAACAAAATTCGGAATATTTCAGTAAAAACGCAATAAATATTAAAAAATACATCTCTGCACTGTAGCTAAGATCATTCCATGTATTCCACACAATTTCTTATTCAAAATACACCAAAAGTGGATATATTCGTCAATATTGATTTTCAGCTACTTTTTGCTGGGATTGTACGTACAAAACATCCTTAAAAAAAGAATAATATACTTAAAAGAATAATAAAAAAGAATAATATATTTAAGGATGTTTTGTACGTACAATCCCAGCAAAAAGTAGCTGAAAATCAATATTGACGAATATCCACAAAGCAGAGATGTATTTTTTAATTTTTATTGCGTTTTTACTGAAATATTCCGAATTTTGTTAATCGAAATGATTAACTTTTGGCAGAGAATTTCGTCTTATGACAGATACATGGCTAACTTCATTGAATTATATTTAATATCTTTTTAATCAGTTAGTACCTGTATAATATTATTTGACCAAATATTTCCTCTCTAAACTTTTACAAATTTTAAACAAATTCTGAATATTATTTCCATGTGTTTTTGTCATTTGAATCGACGTAGTTATACGTTTCCAATAAGAACACATGTTAATTTGGTGCAAATTAAAATCCTTATAACTTGTGAACGCTTTAGTGAATCGATTTAAAAATTGTACTAAAGATTCTAAACATATGTAAGGATATTCTGTACAATTTTCATTAAATTTTCAATATTTTGAAAATAGGTACAAAACATCCTTGAATGATCATCTAGCTTTTATTATCGCGTTCTAAAAATACTAATAGAAACTATCTCAAATTGCGATTAAATCGTTTAAGGATTCTAAAAATTCATTTTAAAAAAAATTATCGAGTGTCTTAGAATGCTTTCTTAATTTCATCTATATATTTTTGTGAATTAAGAAAGTGCAAATAGATAATAAAACTTACTTTTTATTTTATCTCGAGTGTATATTAATGGAATTTTAATTTTAATTATTCCCTGAGCCGTAATCGCGAGATGCTGCTTGGGACAGTTCCGGCGTCATCAACTCCTAAAAGATAAGAGGAGAAAACGGGTTATTGGGCAAAATGGGACGGGAAAGATTCGCCCATTGGCTGCCTCACAGTTGACACAGTTTCCCACCGACGAAGCAGTCGGACGATCGATACTGCCACGTCCACATTGCGATTCTGCCTAAGAAGATCATCGTCCCAATAAGCGTTACACGCCGACAACGACGTTTCAATCTTAATGGGCCATTCTCGGTGTGCGGTGCGTCGTGTATGATACGACTGATGTTCGGGCTTACCCGTTAATACCATGATAATATCAATCACGGGATGCTAGTTTCATCAGATCATTTCAAAGTGTCAAACACGACAGAGATCTATCCATTGTTGCAAGCGGACGAGAATGTATCGATCGAATAGATTTCTGATGCATATAAATCTAAAACTAAACTTCGACTAATTAATTCAAGCAAAAGATAGTTCGGTTTTTTGTGAAAACATTCATGCTCTGATTTAATTAAAACTTGATGAAGAGGAAAAAATTCCAAAAAATTAATGAGTTTTCGACATATTTTCTCGCTATGTAAAATCTCTTTTCAAGGTATTTTTTTATATCATTTGATTCAGTTTGAGAAAACAAATCGAATTGACATGGAAATATTGTTGCTTCAGGGAAAAAAATTAGTCTGTTGCTACATTTATATAATAATGATTGCTCTGTCTTTTGAAAATGAGATTGCATTCAATTCCTTGAAATTTAGCGCATATTAAAATTATAATAGAGCCGAATAATCGCGGTAGATTTTTTTCGCGAACTCGGAAAGTAAAGCACTCTAATCCAAACCATCCCGATCTAACCCAGAAAATAAATTCTAATAGCAAAGTGACAGCCGGCTTAGCGCGGCGTTTTCATTTGCGACATTATTATTACCAATTCTCAGTAAAAATGCAAAAATGTTAAAATAATGCACAAGAGAGAAAGAGAAAGAAAAACTTCTTTCGAAAGCGTCACATAAATTATACAAAGTAAAAGGTAAATTTCTAAGAGTTACCGTAATGAATGAGAAATAAATTACGCTAAAGTATCAAGACGTCCGGAGGATTTAAATGCCACAAACTCACTACGTTGGAAAAGATACCAGCGCGTCGCGAAGGAGAGTAGATTGAACCAAACTCACCGATACTCCGATCCTTCGCTCAGCTGTCTCACTGTAATAGGAAATTCACTAGGTCCATGAGCTTTCAGCAGCTCTTGCAATCGCACGAGTCCCTCGTTGTTCTCGTAGATAATGGTGAAGCTTTTCCACCCCCAGGCCTTCACCAGATCGACATACGCCTGGAACAGGTAATCAATCACAAGCTATATTATTATTACAGTCCGGTTAACCTGCCCATGGCTACCGTAACGCTTTTACATCCTTCGCTTGTAATTTAACTCTCGGATTATCTACATGAATTTCTACCGCGATAATATACCATTATATAAAGACGGTAAATACGACGAATGACATTTCTCATTAAGAGATAATATTACATATTATATTAGCAATATATTAATAATATAATATTTAATATTTATAATATATTATTTATGTAAAATATAATATATAAAATATATCAACAAAAAGAAAGAAGATAATATATGTGCATTATAGTGTCGAATCTGTATTTTGTAGCTGTAGCGTAAAAACTGTGAATGGGAGTTTATGAAATGTGAAATAAAATTTTATAGAGAAAGTTGAATATTATTTGTATATCTACAAAAATTAATTATCGTTTTATTTATCAAATTTACAATATTAACTAACACGTTTTTATAATATAGTTATTGATATTTATTAGATACGTTCATGCAAAATGACTATATATATATATATATATATATATATATATATATATATTATAATATGAAAATGTATTAGTTAATATTGTGCATTTGATAAATAAAACGGTAATTTTTGTAAATATAAAAATAATATTCAAGTTTCTCTATAAAATTTTATTTCACATTTCATAAACTTCCATTCACAGTTTTTATATATTTTATATATTATATTTTTATATATTTTTTTATATATTTTATATATTATATATATATATATATATATATATATATATAATATGTGTGTGTGTGTGTACAAGAATGTAAATTTACAAGCATGAAAACTGTGTACGACGCGACGCTGCGGATTCACAGCTAGTAACAAATTGCATATTGACGCGAAATACAACAGTTCATCGGAAAGAAGAATTCGCGCACCGGATGTACATGTTTCGCGCGTTCCGAATTCCGTTAGAATTTTGAATTACAATATGTTGCCGATGAAATGTCACCTGCGTTAGTTATAAATCGGAGCAGGATTGAACTCGGATTCCATAGGCATCATTATTGCGGAAAGAAAATCGTGGAGAAAAAAAGAATACTACAGTTATATTCGTGATCAATGCTGTCATTTTTATTCCATTGTTTGTTTTATTCCTTTTTCTCTTCTGTTCTAAGAGATTTGTTATATTGAAATAAGAATTGATTGTTAAACATTTTGTACCAAGACCATTTTCATATCAAGGACTTAATATCAGCTCCACTAAGTTTTCCTTAAAGTATCATGTAAATTTATGATCGGTTAGTATCGACTCTTTAAAAATAATTGTTACTACTAACGGAAGTCAATAAAACAAGAATTATTATTCAAGAGCCTTTAAGAGTATAGATTTTAATTTAATATTTTAATTTAATATTTTTAATTTAATATTTTTTTTATATTTGAAAATAAATTATATCTCTTACACATTTTCTCTCTCTTTCTCGTGTACGTTAATACTTATTTATATTTATATTTTTACAGTTTAATTCGTCGTATTTATTTAGTTAGGTACATAGTAAAATAGATTCAACAAGGGGCAAAACTATTGTATTTTAAAAGAGCCTTTTCTGCTGTATACTCGTTCCTGCTACACATTACATCACGATGCAACGGAGTGCCTTCTGCAAGAGTAGTTTATAAGAGACTGCAACTTATTTTGCCACGCGGTGGAACTCGTCTATAGCCCAGGCTTTTAACTGGGAAAACAACTATTACACAGTCGCGACGCTCTCCAATGGCCGAATCGAAGGCGAGCCGAGATGCTTTCGCAAGAATTCACTTTGCTGGTAACGCACACTTCGCAGCCGCGCTTTTTCCGATAATCCGAATTCGCGCGTATGAAAGGAGAACGAATGTATATTTTCCAGGGAGAAACCTCCGTCGTGGTTTTGCACGCCATCCTCTTTCACTTTTTGCCTTTTTATCTTTTTACGTTCTTCTTCACGCGAAATTTTATATTACCCATCGTCTCGAGATTTCACTTCCTTTGCTGTGCTTTTAGCGAAGAAACCAAGCACCTCTAGCTACATAATATTCATCTGAGATAATCCCAGCCATTAGGACTATAACGCGTGATGCCACGTGCTTCAGATCCTTAGATTAACTCTTAATTTCTACCTCGGTCGCAGGTAAATCATTTTGCAAGCTTTAGTGGATAAATTCTGCGCACTCGATCTTGTTAATTACCTTGTTATATGCAGCACAAAAAGGCATTATTAAATTTTCTTATTAAAGGTAAACGTGGATCCACAGAGATATCCTTATAGTTTGGAATTTATCTTTTTCATTTCAATATTATTAAAATGATAAAATAAAAAAGTCAAATATCTTATAAATATAAAAGTTTATCCTTTTATTTTATAATAAAAAAAATAAACTTTTATATTTATAAGATATTTGTCTTTTTTATTTTGTAATCTTAGTGCGTTGAAATGAAAAAAATAAATAACAATAACGCAAGTTAATAGGTTTCTCGATTTAAAGCAATATACATTATTCTTGCTGGCTTATTATATTTTATTTATGCTTATCGTATTTATATCTTGCACTAGCGTTGCTGAGATCGAAAGTTCTGAATGTAGAACATTAATAAGAGCTGATTACTTTGAAAGTGCTGTAAGTCCAACTTTGGAGCACGTTTAAGTAGGATGCGAATGGAAATTACTACGATGTACCTACTTTAGAGAGGAGGATATTCAAAATTTATCTTACTCCGCTTCCAAAATCAACTCATCCATGAAATTTATTACACGTACTAGGCGCATCCGAGGCTATGATTTTGCAGATAATAATTTCGTAACGCATCGTTTTATCCGTTGCTCGTTATTTTATGCGATACAAGTTAAAAAAAAAAAGAAAAACATATAACATGCAGATTTCAATGATATTATCGGTGCCGTTTTTGGTCATTTTTTTATATGCTAAAACAGGCGACGATGCGGTTATCGACCCAGTTACTTGTCCATTTGCGATGCTAACAGGCTCGGATTGTCATAGAAAGCGCAGACAGCGACTGCTGGCGAATAGCCAGGTCGCATTCATTAATAATACGGTGATTATATACTGTGGATTTTTGTCGAAGAGGGGATTTGCTGAATTTGGTAAATTACGTTCCTGATCGTTTAACGGAAAAAGAGCATTTTATAATTTTGTTGAAGATGAAAAAAATGACGAAAAACGTCGATAAATTGCTTTCTATTGACAGTTTTGATGAAATGAAAAAATATCTTAGATAATATAATTTCAGAATTAATATATTAATTTTAATTTTGTGGACATACTTGAGATTATTTCTCTATTAAAGTTCGCAAAAATTCCCAATAATATCCAAACACGATTAAATTAATTATTGTAAGTGGATAGTGTATCAAGTACCGAAATAACGTTTGCTCAAACTTGGTGTTGTAATCCGATGTAGAATGATAAATGTAGCTTGTGGTTGGCTTCCTGAAATGTTAATGTCTTGTCCACATCGCTATTCCTAACCGCCACAAGCGAATTTATGCTTATGCAACCATATAATCTAATTGTCTTTTTTTTCTCTTAATACATAACATATTTGCGATCTTATCAACATTGATTAAAATTTATTGTAATAAAAATTTTCTATTAATATTAAATCGATATTTTATAAAAAAAATATCAGCAAATAAAATGTGCAACTATTTTAGTAAGCTTAATTTACGAGCTTAAATAAAACAATTTATAAAAATTGAAAATACTCTCGGCTCTTTTAGAATAACCACTTTATAGGAAATAGTTTCTAAATTTTTATATAAATTGGCGTCATTTTTGTGTGTGATGTATTCGGAGGAGCTGTTAGCTGGACAAAACAGTGCGTTTAAATGCGTTTTCCACCTGTAGTGTAAAATTATCGTCGATTCAACAAGACCGCTGTAATTTACACGACAGTCCAATTTCGGTAGCCTTCTCCGTTTTTCCCCCAATATTCCGGAAGGGGAGTAAATCGGTCGATGTTCAGAGTATTGATCATTGCTGTACACCGGTGCAACTCCCATAATCACGCGAGTTTGCGAATCTGATCACAACAACTATGCCTGGCGTGTCTGTCGCATATTCGCACGTGCCGATCGACCAACCGGTACCCTACAAATAACGCGCCACCGCCAGACTCTCGTTCACCTCCGTCGTGTGTTTTGCGCATGTAATATATCACGACTGGATCGATGTTTAAATTACATTCAGTGTAGTGCACGTAAATTGCAGCTCGCAATGCTTGTAAAATATCTGAATGTTTCGTGGCGTGGCTTGCGTGGTGAGGCTTGTGTAGCGATAATTTTGCCAGCTTCCGATAATCAACGACTGTCCGATCGAATCTGGTTCTCTCGTTCGGACATGGCTAGATTTTCCACACTGAAGATACATTTTCACGCTATTATTAACTGCATTCATTAAAATGCATATATGTATCGTTATATAAATTATAAATTATTATATGTCCATTTTGTGTTTCGCTAAATAATGCAATAAGTTATGAAAATAATATAAGTTATGTAACTAATATAAAAAAAATTTATCAAAAAATAAAAACACTAAATTATCTTGTTTGATAATTTTGATAAGTAATCTGCCATTGTAATTTGTTTGAAAATTGTATTTTCTTCTCTTCGAGTATTTATATACTTGAAATATAATATTCCGATCGTTGTATTATTCTGATATAATTAAATGCGAAATTATTCATTCTACAGAAGAATTAAATTATGATTTCGCTAATATAATAATAATATTTGTCACTATTTGCTGTTTTTTTAACGTAAAAATTTATTTTTATGTCGAATTTATAGAGGTTAAAATAGCTAAAAATCTAATAACAAAATTGAAACATATAAACTAATTAAATACTTGCATATAAATTATATATAAATCAAAAATATGTTTTGTTGTTTAAAAATTTATTAATGTAAAAAAAAATTATTAATATATGCATTTATTTTTACAACAGTTTTTT